CTTCCTGTGTTCACTCCCTGCCGCTGTGTGGCAGCCCTCCTGGTCCCAGGCCTGTTGCTCAGGGAGCTGGGGCTGTGATGGGGGGCAGCAAAGGGGAGGCAAATGGAGCTGGGGGAGGGGCCTCAGGTACCCTTCTGTGGTCAGCAGAAGGACGTGCCCAAGGTGCACATCCTAATCCGTGGAGCCTGTGGGTGTCAGGCGATGTGGCGAAGGGGAATTCATTAAGCCTGCTCCTCAGCCGACTTGGGAGCCCCAGGTGTGGGGAGGAGGTGGAGAGTCAGGTGAGAGAGGCCATGCGCAGAGGGAGGAGGACTGGCCGGCAGGCAAGGCACCCGAGCGGCCTCTAGGGGCCGTGACGGGCAAGGACACAGATTCTCCCCTGGATCTCCCAGAAGGAGCAGCCCTGACAATGTCTTGGTCCAGACTAGCGTGGGGACGTTGGCGTCCAGAACCACGTGTGTGCCTCTAAGGGCTCAGTCTCACCCAATCTCCCCTGAGTTGGTTGTCGTCTGTTACAACGGCCACAGGAAGCCAAGGCCTTCTAAGTTTGGCTTTGTTTGCTCCAGGAAGAAATGCAGCGGGGAGAGTGATGTTTTGATCCAACTGTGGCCTCTCTTGGGAGCACATAATCCTCATGCTTGGTGTTGCTCTTCCTGGGTCCCAGACATTGTCCTAACCGCCCTATGTCAACTCACTCATTTGATGCCCACAACTCTGGAAGGCAGGCTATATTTTTTACGGGTTTGAGTTCACTAAGGCACAGAGAAGACAAGCAACTTATCCAGGGCTGCCCAGCAGAGTTCCTGTGACGTGCTGCTGGTCTTGTGTGGACACTCCCAAGGTGGGTTTCTTTCTGGTAAGATCTTCCAGATGTGCTGGGCCCCCGTGTGGGTGGTGATGCTGAGGGAGCAAGCCTGAGCTGTCAGACTGCACGTCAGCCCCCGTGTCAGCAGGTGAGGTTGAACCGCTTGCCCGGCGGCTTATGAGCTGTGAGACTCCAGGCACATTGTTCAACCTCTCTGAGCTTTAGTCGCCTTGTCAGAAAACAACAGGAACAACTCTTCCCCGAAGGGGTGGCATTTTAATAACACGAGGAAAAGTACGAGGAGTCTCTGATCAAAGTCTTCCCCGGCTCTTGTCTGGTCTGTAGGACAGGACAGGGGCTCAGTGCTCAAGGGAGAGAGGCTACGTCTTGCTTCCACCCCGAGTTCAACCCTGGACCCCCCTGGTGCTTGTTGGACTGCAGGCAGCCACTCGGCCGCTCTGGCCTCGCTGTCCAATTCTGAGAGGAGAGGTGGCGACGGTACCCTAACTGGGGTATTGTACGTGAAGCGCTGGACAGTGAGGGGGGACTCTGTGGGGTTGGACCTTATGCTTGCTGGGGAGGGAGAGAGGGAGGGACGGGGGGTCTGCTAGCACCGGTCTCTTTCTCTCCCTTCTGGCATTCATTCCCCACTCGGTGGCTGATCAGATGTTGCCATGGGTTACAAAACCGGTTACCAAACATTAGACCATGACTATATTTTCATTAAAAATAAAGCATCTTGGAAAAAAGTTTCCTAAAATGTTAATAGTGGTAATTTCTGGGTAATGGATTAAAGAAAACCCTGTATTTTAAATATATTTTTGAGTTGCTTGGATTTTAAAAAAAAAATTCCAGTGAGCGTGGCTGGATTCCGTGTGAACAAGCCGAGTTTCCCCCTCGCCGTTTTGCACAGAATAGAAGAGCCCGTGTTTCTCTGTGTACCGTGAGCTATTGTGAATTTGTGTTTGTCCTGAAAACCAAGTTTTGCCCTCTATCAGGTGCAGTTCAATGCTGGGACCATTTGGGGAGTGTCTGTCTGTGCCAGCTCTTGGCCCTGGTGACAAGGACAGATAAGGCCCAACCCTGCTTCTAGAGAGCTCAGAGTCCAGAAGCGGTTGCTTCTGGTGTTGATCAAAGTGCACGTTTTCTGCCTTAATAACGATGCTAAATATGGCTCCCCGTCTCCCTGTGTCCTCGCCAAGATCCAAGGGCACCTGTTTGTGGGGGATAGATCCGCTTGCCCTGGGCGCCCGGCAAGTGGCTCAGTCTTACCCAATCTCCACGAGTCCCATATTCTCAGCTGAACAGGGGATGGTGTGCCACTGCATTCAAAATCAGACTCGGGCTCCCGGCCGTAGCCTGCATGGCCCTGTGTGTCCCGGCCTGTCTCCTTGCACAGTCTTCTGTCTGGCCCTGCCAGGGCCTCCTGCAGCTGAGCATCTCAGTCCCTGCAGCAGCCGGGCTCCTCCCAGCTCTGGGCATCTGCTGGAACGCGGTTCCTTCCTTCTGGGGAATGGTCCCTCTCACCCAAGCTCCCTCCCTCCCCTCCCTTGCCTCAGTCTGCGAGCTTGTTCAGGTTTGCCATTGCTCTACTGACTTGGTGACTTGGTTTCTCTCCGTGCTGTCTACCTGTGAGCTGTGAAGGCAGGCCCCTGCATCGGGTCCCAGCAGGTCCCAGCTCTGCACAATCCTCTCCCGTCTCCCGTTCACAGGGGCTGGGAGGGAGGGACCCGCAGAGGCTGAGAAGCACCTGCCACCCTGTATCCAGTTTCGGAAGCAGGTAGGAAGCCCCATCCAGGCAGCCATGGCCCGAGGAGCAGAGCAAAAGCCTAAGCCATTCGCCACCCTTCCAGGCTGGGCTTCCTTGGTGAACCACCATTGGGGTCTGTCTTTCCTCCTGGGGCGTCAGTGACGGGTGGCTGACCCAGGCCATCTGCACAGCCGCAGGTAACAGGAGTCCTTTGCTCTGTGCTGTCCCGTGTCTGGCTTTGGAGGTGGAAGGAGTGCTTTCCCCAGAGTACAGGAGTGGGGTCTGTGGGTGGATACGCATCATCTCTGGCAGATGCAGGCCAGGGGGAGTGTTCCCCCGCAAGCCCCCAGCTAAAGGTTTAGTTCCGCCTCAGGTTTTTCCAAAATAGCTAGAAAACCTGCTGCCTGTTTTCAACTCCCAAAGCGCAGGGCTCCCCTGCACAGGAGGAGGCCTGAACTCTGACATTCTCTTCTGCTCAAAACAGGCTACGATTCCATCCG